GTAGCCACCTGCCACAGGTAACGCTAGCCACCTGCCACAGGTAACGGTAGCCACCTGCCACAGGTAACGGTAGCCACCTGCCACAGGTAACGGTAGCCACCTGCCACAGGTAACGGTAGCCACCTGCCACAGGTAACGGTAGCCACCTGCCACAGGTAACGGTAGCCACCTGCCACAGGTAACGGTAGCCACCTGCCACAGGTAATGCTAGCCACCTTGAATAAGGGCTATTCCTACTCATATATAACAGGCTCATGAAATAAATGGGTCTCTAAAAATAGGTTTCAAGTTAGCTGCGGCAGGATAACAGCTCTTGCTTGCATTTTAACTTCACAAATCATTTGACAGCCCTTATGAACCCTTACGAGACAGAGAGAGAGAGATACAGAGACTGAGAGAGTGAGAGAGACTGAGAGACTGAGACATACAGAGACTGAGAGAGTGAGAGAGACTGACTAAGACAGAGACTGAGTGTGGTGCCACACTGTCTGGTCTGGTGTGGTCCGGCGCCACACCCTGTATTGATGGCTGGCGTTAGTGCTCTTCTAGTAGGGGTGTGGTGGGGGGGTCCTCACAGTAGGGGAGGGGGGGTGGGGTGTGGTGGGGGGTCCTCACAGTAGGGGAGGGGGGGTGGGGTGTGGTGGGGGGTCCTCACAGTAGGGGAGGGGGGGGGGGTGTGGTGGGGGGGTCCTCACAGTAGGGGAGGGGGGTGGGGTGTGGTGGGGGGTCCTCACAGTAGGGGAGGGGGGGTGGGGTGTGGTGGGGGGTCCTCACAGTAGGGGAGGGGGGGGTGGGGTGTGGTGGGGGGGTCCTCACAGTAGGGGAGGGGGGGTGGGGTGTGGTGGGGGGGTCCTCACAGTAGGGGAGGGGGGGTGGGGTGTGGTGGGGGGGTCCTCACAGTAGGGGAGGGGGGGTGGGGTGTGGTGGGGGGGTCCTCACAGTAGGGGAGGGGGGGTGGGGTGTGGTGGGGGGGTCCTCACAGTAGGGGAGGGGGGGTGGGGTGTGGTGGGGGGGTCCTCACAGTAGGGGAGGGGGGGTGGGGTGTGGTGGGGGGTCCTCACAGTAGGGGAGGGGGGGTGGGGTGTGGTAGGGGGGTCCTCACAGTAGGGGAGGGGGGGTGGGGTGTGGTAGGGGGGTCCTCACAGTAGGGGAGGGGGGGTGGGGTGTGGTAGGGGGGTCCTCACAGTAGGGGAGGGGGGGTGGGGTGTGGTAGGGGGGTCCTCACAGTAGGGGAGGGGGGGTGGGGTGTGGTAGGGGGGTCCTCACAGTAGGGGAGGGGGGGTGGGGTGTGGTAGGGGGGTCCTCACAGTAGGGGAGGGGGGGTGGGGTTTACCCATTGGGGAAGTGTTCACAGTAGGGGGAGGGGGAAAGTGATACATTAGGGGGGGGGGGAGAATACAGTGTAGGGGTGGATACAGTAATAGGGGATGTATACAGCGGCATGTGCTTACCTATTAGTGACCACATGGAAGTCAAGTTAGCTCTTTGTGTCTCCCAGACGGTCCAGAAGTGATTGGGCACCATTCCTTTCCCACCGTCCCATCCCAAATCCTTACCCCTTCCCAGTGTTATATAGTCGTAATGGCTTGGTGCTTTTCCCTTGCTCATTCCCTTCCCTTCCTAAAGCCGTTTATTCCTGGCGCGATAATTAACCTTTCCATCGAATCTTTTTTTTTGCCATTGACTGAAACAACTTGTTCCTTCAAGTCATCAACTTGACAGCCCACCTTTACAGACTACGAGAGCTTTCTTCTCCAAGACTCAATTATGTGTTCAGCTTCCCCTGAAGGGGCATGACGGCTGAGTGAACAGCACTCAGGATTCGTAGTCTTGAGGTTCCCGGGGTTCGATCGCCGGTGGAGGCGGAAACAAATGGGCAGTTTCTGTCACCCTGGTGCCCCTGATCACCTAGCAGTAAATTAGGTACCTGGGAGTTAGACAGCTGCTTCGAGAGCTGAAATACTGTCTCCTCTCTTCTCAAGGCAACAGACTCGACGAATATAAGTCATTTACGTCACTTGTTCCGTCTTAATTGGTCGTTAGTCAACGGCTGCGTTGTTCACTGTTATTCCTTAATGTACTCTGAGCCCAGAGCTGCCTGTACACCTTAGTAATTAACTACCAAATGCTACATGCACTTGGGAACACTTATCCTACAGTTACAAGTACACACACGGGTCTGATTCACGAAGCAGTTACCCAAGCACTTACGAACGTGTACATCTTTCCTCAATAATTGACGGCTTTGGTTACATTTATTAAACAGTTTGCAAGCATGAAAACTTGCCAATCAACTGTTGTTATTGTTATAAACAGCCTCCTGGTGCTTCGGAGCTCATTAACTGTTTAATAATTGTAAACACAGCCTAATGATTGAGAGGAGAATTGGCTAAACGTACCAAATGCCGGTGGCTGAGCGGACAGAACACTGGACGCGTGATCCTGTGGTCCCGGGTTCCATCCCAGCGAGAGACAATGGGCCGAGTTTCTTTCACCCTGATGCTTCCGTTACCTAGCAGTAAATAGGTACCTGGGAGTTAGTCAGCTGTCACGGGCTGCTTGCTGGGGGTGGAGGCCTGGTCGAGGACCGGGCCGCGGGGACGCTCACAGCCCCGAAATCATCTCAAGATAACCTCAAGATATTTTGTTATGTAAAGTGGTTGTGGGTAGAGTGCCAGGTGTATGTTATGTAAAGTGGTTGTGAGTAGAGTGCCAGGTGTATGTTATGTAAAGTGCTTGTGAGTAGAGTGCCAGGTGTATGTTATGTAAAGTGGTTGTGAGTAGAGTGCCAGGTGTATGTTATGTAAAGTGCTTGTGAGTAGAGTGCCAGGTGTATGTTATGTAAAGTGGTTGTGGATAGAGTGCCAGGTGTATGTAATGTAAAGTGGTTGTGAGTAGAGTGCCAGGTGTATGTTATGTAAAGTGCTTGTGAGTAGAGTGCCAGGTGTATGTTATGTAAAGTGGTTGTGGGTAGAGTGCCAGGTGTATGTTATGTAAAGTGGTTGTGGGTAGAGTGCCAGGTGTATGTTATGTAAAGTGGTTGTGGGTAGAGTGCCAGGTGTATGTTATGTAAAGTGGTTGTGAGTAGAGTGCCAGGTGTATGTTATGTAAAGTGGTTGTGGATAGAGTGCCAGGTGTATGTTATGTAAAGTGGTTGTGGGTAGAGTGCCAGGTGTATGTTATGTAAAGTGCTTGTGAGTAGAGTGCCAGGTGTATGTTATGTAAAGTGGTTGTGGATAGAGTGCCAGGTGTATGTTATGTAAAGTGGTTGTGAGTAGAGTGCCAGGTGTATGTTATGTAAAGTGCTTGTGAGTAGAGTGCCAGGTGTATGTTATGTAAAGTGGTTGTGGGTAGAGTGCCAGGTGTATGTTATGTAAAGTGGTTGTGGGTAGAGTGCCAGGTGTATGTTATGTAAAGTGGTTGTGGGTAGAGTGCCAGGTGTATGTTATGTAAAGTGGTTGTGAGTAGAGTGCCAGGTGTATGTTATGTAAAGTGCTTGTGAGTAGAGTGCCAGGTGTATGTTATGTAAAGTGGTTGTGGGTAGAGTGCCAGGTGTATGTTATGTAAAGTGCTTGCGAGTAGAGTGCCAGGTGTATGTTATGTAAAGTGCTTGTGAGTAGAGTGCCAGGTGTATGTTATGTAAAGTGCTTGTGAGTAGAGTGCCAGGTGTATGTTATGTAAAGTGGTTGTGAGTAGAGTGCCAGGTGTATGTTATGTAAAGTGGTTGTGAGTAGAGTGCCAGGTGTATGTTATGTAAAGTGGTTGTGAGTAGAGTGCCAGGTGTATGTTATGTAAAGTGCTTGTGAGTAGAGTGCCAGGTGTATGTTATGTAAAGTGGTTGTGGGTAGAGTGCCAGGTGTATGTTATGTAAAGTGGTTGTGGGTAGAGTGCCAGGTGTATGTTATGTAAAGTGGTTGTGGGTAGAGTGCCAGGTGTATGTTATGTAAAGTGGTTGTGAGTAGAGTGCCAGGTGTATGTTATGTAAAGTGCTTGTGAGTAGAGTGCCAGGTGTATGTTATGTAAAGTGGTTGTGGGTAGAGTGCCAGGTGTATGTTATGTAAAGTGCTTGTGAGTAGAGTGCCAGGTGTATGTTATGTAAAGTGGTTGTGGATAGAGTGCCAGGTGTATGTTATGTAAAGTGGTTGTGAGTAGAGTGCCAGGTGTATGTTATGTAAAGTGCTTGTGAGTAGAGTGCCAGGTGTATGTTATGTAAAGTGGTTGTGGGTAGAGTGCCAGGTGTATGTTATGTAAAGTGGTTGTGGGTAGAGTGCCAGGTGTATGTTATGTAAAGTGGTTGTGGGTAGAGTGCCAGGTGTATGTTATGTAAAGTGGTTGTGAGTAGAGTGCCAGGTGTATGTTATGTAAAGTGGTTGTGAGTAGAGTGCCAGGTGTATGTTATGTAAAGTGGTTGTGAGTAGAGTGCCAGGTGTATGTTATGTAAAGTGGTTGTGAGTAGAGTGCCAGGTGTATGTTATGTAAAGTGGTTGTGAGTAGAGTGCCAGGTGTATGTTATGTAAAGTGGTTATAAGTAAGTCATGTATGACCACCTTAAGTGTCTACTAACTCACACCTGTCCCTCTCTCTATTAGACCCATGTTAAGTGCAATATGAATTTACATATTTACATAATGTGTAAATTATTAGGTCGAGTAAATGTCGCGTGTCTACAGGCTTGGTAATGTCGTATATATAGACCAAAATTACTTTAAATGTGTTTCAATGTAATTAATTCCCATAAAGCTTAATTAAATACAGTAGCAATTTTGTTTATAGATTTGTTGTTATTAGATTGTATTATTGTATAAGTCAATGTTATGACTTGTGTAGTTGGGCCAATAATACTTAGAGTCTTATGTCACCTTAAACATAGAAGTAGCTTTGTGTCGTGTATGATAATGTTGCTATATATTATACTAAACAATTGTTTATCCTTATTGTACTAAATAATGTTAGTAATTGTCTAAATTGTTATTGTTGTGTAATGTATTCTCTTGTCCCAGATGGTAGAATGTCATCTGTAAGAGGCGGCAACCCACCTGATATCTCTACTGCTGCTGCTGCTGATTCTCCTGCTTCCTTAGTTATCATTCCTTATCCTCCTCCTCCTCCTCGTCGTAAGTTTTCCCACGAGAATTACACAAGAAGGAAAGGGTCTTCAGAAACTTTAAGATCCATCGTTTTATTTGGGATGGAGACGGCGCAAGATTCCCCGCCACATGATGGACTTGTGTCTTCCATGTCTCCACCTGATTCACAACCTTACACTTGCCCTCCTGATCTTCCTCCTGAGTTTTGTCCTTCGCCCTCATCTCCTCCTCCTCCGCCACCTCCTCCTTCTTATCTGTTTCCTGAACTATCTTCAGAAGATCTTCCATCACCTCCACCTCCTTCCCAAATGTTCCTGGATGTGTCACTCCCGCCGCCTCCATTATACATTCAGTCTTATGATCCACCCTCGCCTGAAATAAAGTCTGAATATGACCCACCACTTCCACGTGGATTTTCTTCACAGTCTGAACACCCAAAGTCTAATTGGTCTTTACCACCTCCTCCTCGGCCTTCGCCTCCCCCTCCTCCTACTCCACCAGTCCGTCAGGCATCTAGAGAAAATTTGGCTGTCCTTCCACATTCTCCAGTTGTTGAGAAGTCAAGTGTGCGAGAATCGAGTGAGTACAAAACACCTGAAGACTCCAAGACTCCACAGTCGTCAAATGAAACTGCTGATGACTTCCACAAACACATTATGGAGCGACCACCTTCAAGCATAATATCTTCCTCAACACTTACAGCAACTTTTCTTCAGACGCCAGAATCTGGAATGTCTCCCCTGCCGCCACATGCTCTCAGAATCTCCCCTGTTTCCACCGATGCCATCACTCCGTCGTCACAGATAACCGACACTGATTTCACCTTGACACCTACATTCAGTGACCTCACCTCTACTCCAAATTTTTATGACAACAAGGATTCAACCCTTGACATGGACACTCCTGAGGTCACGCCACAGCTCTCAGAAACGCCAGGAACCTCTCCTGATAGTCCAACAGCAGTTTCAATCTCTCCTGTACCTAGAAAATTTGACCCTGACAAAACATTACTTTTGCCTCCATATTTCTCATCTCCAACGACTTCGGAAATATCGGACGCAGCACATTCAACAATGAGTAAGTTAAGCCCATCTAAATTTGACAGTGAGTCAGAGTCTGAGAAAAACAGCAGTGCTTTTAGTGAAAGTTCAGACTTTGGGACTCTGGTTGGCCCCAATACAACTACCACTTCTACTGCCGGACAAGCGCAGATTTTGTCTCCAGTTTCCACTGAACTTCCATCTCTCTTCTCTCTTCCAACTGATAGCGATACAATATCTGCAGACTTCGACTCCTTTGCTGCTGATACTCTGTCGCCATCAGCCGAGTTTGATCCCTTTGCAGCTGATGTGGAAACCTCAAGTGTTGATACTCTTGTAACAGGTGGAACAGTGGATGTCCAGATGACTTCATCCTCGCCAGGGTTCTCAGATACAGCTTATGCCACTGCCGACAGTGCTCTCGGATCAGCCACAATGTCTCCAGCTTTCACTGATTCTTGCACCATTACCCCATTACCCACTGACTATTTCACACCCATTTCTACAAATGCCACTACAACACCTAATCCCTCGCCTATTACTACTGAAGCTCTGAGTCCAATACCATCCTCGCCTTTACCTTACTTTGATGCCTATCATCCTGCTGAACACACACTGTCAATAACATCATCCCAAGATCACTTGCTTCACTGTGAAGCCACCGGTATAGAGAGACTAGTCAGATGCCAAGCCTCAGAGACTAGTGTAGGAGAGAGCTCAACACACAGTTTACAAGCAATGTCATCTTACCCTCTAACTGGGTCCGTCGCCCCCAAGCACAAACCATTGTGTAAATCTCAATTCCCAATAAATGCACAGGATTCCGAGGCTGATAAATATCCCGCACTAGATAATAAACTTGAGATGAGGAACGTTAAGCAGGAGTTGCATAGAGAAGTACAAGATTATGAGGAGAATGGGGGAATTAAAGAAGCAGAAGAGGAACCATCCAGGCACCAGACTATGGAAAGCACCCAAAGTGATGCAGAAAATGAACGGTTTCATGAATCTGAATCAGAAATAAAAAATAAAAGCCTAATCGTGACAACTTCATTTACAACTAATGATAAGGAAACCCTAGAAATGAGCAGAATATGTGAAGTTCAATTTAGTGGAGTTAGAATGAGTGACGCAATTCAGCAAAACATGAAAAGCGAAGCAGCGGAACATTTTGCCGAGGATATGAGCCAAGACTCGACCAAGGTGGACCAAGATGTCCACCAAGCTCCTCTACCACCATCGGCACAACCGGAGATCAACAAAGGTAAAAGATATGATGAATTCCATGAAGAGGTTCATGAAATTTATGAAATAATGGAAGATGTTAATGGTAATATAAATTATGTACTGGAAGATAAGCAAAAAGACCAAGAAATCACTCGTGAAACAATGAACTTATTAGCTAAAGACACGAAGGATAAGAATCAAGAGCTTTTGCAGGACATTTCAGGAGAAAAAGAAAATATAACATCAAAAGAATCTGCTGAAGTACTGAGCGTTACAAAAGACACTAACGAAAGAACAGAATGCAGATCTGAAGAAAGAGATAATGAACTACAAAATAAAAATGGATTTACATCAACAAAAGTCAAAATTCCCAAGGCTAGTTCACTTCCCGTGTTAGCGAGTCCATCAGGCACTCCAACAAAGTCTCTAGCTCCGGGAGAATGGGTGCAATCTTCGCTACCATCTTCCCCAACTCCAAGAACTGCCAATTCCTGTAATTTTTATGCATTTCCTTGGGCTAGTTCTCCATTAAATTTAAAATCAATGCCATTCTCTTCGCCAACTGTTCCCCAGGAGAACGTCCGTGCAGGGGTGACTATGCCTTCCAGGAGACTTTCTCCATCTATAACACCTCATAGTCTAGTAAATGTTGGCGTAGTCACTCCTAGGAGAAGGCAAAAGACCGTCTCGCTTTCTGCATCGCCTGAAGAATCCTTGCAGCTCTTGGATGCAGTAGTTGTGGATTTAGAAAACATCTCAGCTGGCATCCCATCTTCATGTCCAAAGCAAATGATTTCTAATACAGCTGCTCACAGCAAACTTAACGATGAAGAGAGAGTTCCTCGTACTGCAAGCATGTCTTTACAAGAAGAAAAGACTTCTTGCTTAAATTCCAATACCAGATCGACGTCCATATCCAAAAATTTAACACAAGAAGCTGCCTATAATTTGCATACAGAAGCAGGTACGATATCAGAATCCTGTACACAGCATCAAGCCAGTTCATCAAGCAGTGAAACAGAGGCTGATGCTGCGATTGTCAGACATGCAACGACTATAGGCACCAGCAACATCACCCCGCATGATTCATGTGATGGAGACCACATACAAGATGCTAGGGAACATCAAATGTGTGTGTCATCGGTAAATATATGTTTGGTGGCTGCCCAACCTCAGAACAAACATGATACACCTCAGCCTCCACTTGTAACCCAATCTCAGGATGATATTCATCCTGTTGAAGTATTGGATACATATTCAGAATTGTGTACACAACCCCACGTCACATCTTCAGTTGTTAACAGCATATCTTTCAGTAGTGCACTTAATGTTTGTAATCTTAATATGTCTAGTGCATGTAGTGATGTAAATGTTTCGTCTCTCTCATCAGAGAATGTTGATAACTTAGCAGCTTCCACTAATACTGATTCTAAAGGAGAACTTCATGAAGAAAATCCATTAAGTGAACATTTCACAAAGGATGGAACAGTGCAGAATGCTGAAGTTGATATACCTTCATTTCATGATAAAAATATGTTAGTTAAAAATAGTACCGGAAACAATTGTGTGGTTTTAGACACTGGGAATCATGTTAATGAACCTTTTTCTCACATTCAATCATCCTTGTTAAGAGGTCATTCTGAAAACACTCCTGATAGTCATCTTGACAGTGAAAATAGTACTTTAGGAACTCACTCCATCATTGATGATACGAAACCTAAAATAACCAGTGATTCCCTTCCCTCACAGTCTTCTTCTTGTTCCTCATTTGGCAGCATGGTGGAAGGTGTTTCCTCACCTTGGCCAGCCTCATGCGCCAAGTCTGCCCCTCAACCTCCTCCCAGGTCTTGTATCAACACTCCCAGACAAGCTGCGGGAGCTCCTCTACCTCCTCCAAGGCAATACATGCTTGTTCCGATAAACCATCATCATCATGGCACACAAAGAAGATTTAGCCCTCCACCTGCTCCGCCTCGATCCACATCTATTCGGAAATCTCCCCCACCGCCACCACCTCCGAGATCTGTTATCCACACGCCATCGGAGACAAGTGAATGGGTTGATTTCCCTCCACTCCCCCCACCTCCTTCTTCATGCATCATTACCCCAACTACTCCTCCACCAAAGCTGACTCCTGTTCCAGAAGAATCCTCATCTCCAACCACGCCTCCTTCAACACGACCATCACCTAGGAACTCGCAGACAGGATCTACTCCCATTGATATTGCTTTCCCCTAAACGAGCCACAACTAATTCTTCATTTAAAGAATGTAACCCTGTTAGTTCATGTGTTGTATCTCCTCTAGCACTACAGATGGGTGAAGAACGAACAACTGGATCTTTATCATGCAACACTCCGTCACAAACTGTTTCCACAGTAACAGTAAATACATCTTTAAAACAAAATGATAGAAATAAAGATGATCCTCCAGATGTTCCACCACCTCCAATAGAAGATTATGAAGACTTGCCACCAATACTGCCTCCTCCTCCTCTAGAAGAATCTGAAGTCGAATCTGTGCTTCCACTTCCTCCTCTGCCCAATGTTTTTGTATGCCAACCTCCACGGCCGCCCCCACCACCTAGAGTTATGCCTCCACCTCCACCACTTCCTCCGCCTCCTAATGTGTGCTTCTTTTCTCCCGACCCTTCTGTAAGACCTCTGGTATCTTCTGATCGCGATGCTTTATCCTCTAGTCCTTGCAGTATTCCTCCTCCTTCTTCAGAGTCTGAAACTACAACCTCCATGTTTCCGCCAACTTCAACAGCACCACCTACATCAGACGTGCCTGAAGCTCCTCCATTACCAATGCCTGGTCTTAATCTTTCAGCAGCTTCACCATCGATGCCCGTTTTGCCACATTCACTCACATCCGAAACCAAAGCCTTAGCATCTTCGGCGCCACCCAAATCTCCAATTTCATTTGCCTCCTTGCCTCCAAGAGCACATTCTCCTACATGTGGTATACCTGGGGCTCCGAAGTCACCTCTAATAACAACATCGCCCTACGGTAAAATAGTCATTATTCGTTCAGATCTGCCATTGCCATCACCAGAAGAAGAAATAAGATTGACGTTTGCAAATGTAAAGGACTGGGGGATATTGGATGAGGATGTTGAGACGCTCTCCCTGTACACACAGTTACGCCCAGTCATTCAACAGGGACCACAGTAAGTGCCACCAACAGTCTAAGATAACAACTTCATTTATTGGTCATTCACAGTTGTCATAATGTATTTATTTTAGATGTAATGCATACACACAACATAGTTTAAAGAAAGTGTCATAATGCAGTACATATCACAAATAGGAATGTTTCTAATAAAATTCAACAATGTAAATGTTTCTCTGTGTTGCATGCTAATTTATCTGCAAAGTTATGTCTGTAGGCATCACTTGTAATTCATACTTATGAATAAAAAATTGAACCAGCCTAGGCAGGTAGTTGACTATTTGATGTGGGTTTATCACCATTTGTATGGTGATCAGGTTGCTTCCTTGATGGTGTCCCACCTGAGAGCTTTGTCTTGGCGATAGTATGAAGTTTCCTGGTGTTCTTTCCGCCATTTTCTCTCTCTTCGTAGGTTGTCTTCTATTCCTGATTGGGTTGTCTTGTCCATTCTGTCTTGGCTTTTTTCAGAACCGTCATTTGATGCCTAATACAATCACCTCGTATCGTGCAACGCTGGCGGAGCTGCTCCAGCTTGTGCTCCGGGTGGATGTCACTTCTGCTCCGTTCCATAAACTTTCTCGTGCTTTGTTTCACCTTCGGCCTGCTCACGCACCGCCCGAGCCGTCCTGGTCCTTGGACAGGGTGCTCTCCTATCTCTCTTCTCTTCGGTTCATGGTGGCCCCTTCGGTTCAAGATTGTTTTTCCAAGGCTTTGTTTCTGTTGGCATTGGCCTCTGGGAGTCGGGTCAGTGAATTTCATGCTCTCCTCTGGCGCAGGGGTTTCTGCTCTTTCGGTCTTGGTGGTCGGTTTGTTTGGTTGCAGCCTTCTCCTTCTTTTCTGGCTAGAACGAGACAGCTGCTTTCCAGAGGGGTCCTTAGGTCATTGATGCTTGGTTGGTTAGGCAGGGAATGCATCATGTGTTGTGTCCAGTTGTGGCTCATTGCCGTTTTCTGCGAGCTTCAGCTTCGGTGACTGGGGATGCGCTTTGGGTTGATCCAGTGTCCCTCGTTCCCTGTTCCAGGGCTCGGGTCTCCCAGGTCGTCTGCAGGGTTACTAAGTCTAGCCAGCCTGCAGTCTTTCCTCGTGCCCATGATGTTAGGAAGTTTGCTGCATTGGCTGCCGTGTTTGGCAACATGTCTTGGGGTGATATCCCGGCATGGGGATTTTGGAGGTCGTTCAGGGTCCTGGCCGCCCATTATTTAGTTAACGTTCTTGCTTCTGGGCGTTCTTGTGTTGCTTTGAGTTGCAGGTTGCAGCCAGTTGCAGCAGGTTGTCTTGACTTCGCATTGAGTTTGTGGTGGCTGCCTTCCGGGTAAGTCCCTCTTTTCCTTATCATTGGGTATGTAGCTTCAGGGAGCCGTAGGAGCTCCCCCCACAGAAAACCAGTGTTGAATACTGTATAATGAAACGCCATTTTCTGGGTGAGCCCCGGAGGCTTCCTGGCAACTTCTCCCTCCCTCCGGTTGGCAGTTTTTTGCGTTGTTTGATGCTGAGCTTCCGAACTGGAGTGTTAGTTAACCGGCGTGGGAAGGTCCGGGACTCCCCCATCCCCATCTCGGGAAGGGGGAGTGGGGCATTTGCTTGTTTTCTTATTTCCTTGGGATTAGAGGGGGGCCTTCCTCTCTTTTTGTGTTTTTAGTTGCAATTTTCTTGCCATGTGGGGTTTGTTTTGTTATGCCTTCCGTTCTGGGTGCCTAAACCTGGCCGATGGCAGATAAGGAGAACCCTCAACCACAGGGGAGGGGGGGGGGGTCCAGGGTCATTGCTCTCTGAACCCTCTCTGAGGGGGCCAGGTTCTGGCTCGTGGTCCCCAGTAGGCTGAACTCCATATACTAATGCCCTGGTCTAATATATCACATATTAGCCCGTAGCTCCAGGGAGCCTCCGGGGCTCACCTAGAAAATGGCGTTTCATTACATTCAATGCTGGTTTTTCTGTCCATTGGATCATGGGGGAGCCGGTCGGCCGAGCGGACAGCACACTGGACTTGTGATCCTGGGTTGGGTTCGATCCCAGGCGTCGGCGAGAAACAAAGGGCAAAGTTTCTTTCACCCTATGCCCCTGTTACCTAGCAGTAAAATAGGTACCTGGGTGTTAGTCAGCTGTCACGGGCTGCTTCCTGGGGGTGGAGGCCTGGTCGAGGACTGGGCCGTGGGGACACTAAAGCCCCGAAATCATCTCAAGATAACCTCAAGATAGATGGGCAAGCCCCTCTGCTTCAAGCAAAGTGCTGGTCATCCTTGAACTCTGTTGTCCTGCAGGGGCCAACTACTTCACGAATTGTTTCTGTATTTTAGTATTGTCTTCAGATCTGTGGTTTTGTTCTGGCTTATTGTGTAGGCTCGGCGCTTGTTGTGTTTCAGACTGCACGAGCTCAGGGTTGTCTTTCATGAGTGCTCTTTGCATTTGTCACAAAACAAAGTCCACTTTATAACTGGTGTCCTAAATGAGGCAAATGCAATGTTTGCAGCTTTAACTGAAACTCACAATAAGTACTATTTTGTCCGTGAGATATGGATACTGAAGTACATTTTTTCAGATGTGACAGGAAACATAGGCTGCAGGGTGGGGTCAGCTTGTACATCAAAGACAGTCATCTGCTCTAAGCTGGTAAACACCACAAAAGACATAGTGGAAGTGCTGATACAGGTAATCAAAATTCTGAATGTGGTGATTGTTCTTATATATACATCACCAGATGCAAATCCTCAGCAATTTTAGGACTAAGTTATGAAAGTATAATATTGCTTAGAAAACCTCGCAAACCCTGCCCCAAACATCATCTTACTTGGCGATTTCAACTTACAGTGCCTAAAATTGAAAAATATGTCAAATACTTTTATACCAGAGAGAATCCCAGCAAGCAGTCTAAATGAACAGTCTTACACAAATGACCTCTTGCAAATGTGTGACAGATCTGTCTTAAACCAGCAAGTTGAACCAACTAGAAAAAACACCCTGCATCTTAATTTTATATACAATGATGAATTAATTGATTAGAGACATAATGATGACAAATACTTGTTGCTCAAATCACAATCTAACTGAAGTTCAAACATGCATGGGCAATTGACTGGTGCAGCCAGTCTTAAATCCTATAGGAGGAGAATTCAGTAACTTCAGTTTTAATAATAGATTGACACAAATAACTCAAGACCTCAGAAATATGCTGGGAAAGACAGCTAGATAATGCAAACTTAAACCAGTGATTTGAGAAAAGTGGCACAATAGCACTAGAAATATGTACAAGTCATATACCATTAATTCTACGATCAGGTGACAAAGATTAAGTAAGAAAGAGAAGGCTGAGCGGACTGTGTTTTGTTGGACTGTCGGAAAGCCATTGACACAGTACCCCATAAAAGGCTGATGCATAAGCTGGAGAGACAGGCAGGAGTAACTGGTAAAGTGCTCCAGTGGATAAGGGAGTACCGAAGCAATAGGAAGCAGAGAGTTACAGTGAGGGGTGAGACCTCAGAATGGCGTGAAGTCACCAGTTGAGTCCCACAGAGTCCCTTTCCCAAGAGGCAGACAAGAGGAGCTCCAGCATATTTCAATAATCCTAAGTATTGTAGTACAGGATGATGGTAGTGAGTGGTGTCCCAGAGAACATAAAGGTATAGTGCTTTTGGAAAATAGGTGAGATAACAGGAATGTGCCAAGGGAAGTGAAATAGTGGATGAGAAAAAGTTACCCCTAGTGTTTACAGTGCAGAGAACAACATTCAAGATGGCCGCCGGCAAGAGGAAATACAAAACAGAGCTTGATTTTGCTGGATTCAGTGAAGAAAGCATTGAGATAACCAGTCTATACAACAAGGTGGCAAAATTAGATACTATTGTGACCTCTCATGTAGAAATAATTAGTAAATTGAAAGAAAGTAATGACCATTTAAATAGCAAAGTTGTATGTCTTGAGGGTGTAGTGAAAGACTTGCGCAAGGATAAGAGTCAATTGGAAACAAATTGCAAAGCCATGGAAGAAGAAAATAAACTCTTAAAAATAGCTTTGGAAGAAGTTAAAGTAAATTTAAACATACATAACTACAATAGGTTAGGCAAGGAATTTCAACAGGAGAAACAGCTTTTGTCAGCACAGATGGAGGAAGTTACACAGGGAATAGAACAGTGCAAGAAAGATATGCAACTCACTTATGCACAAGTGGCCAAGGAGAAGGAAAAAATAGAAGAAGCAGTAAAGGAAGTCAAACACTGCAGCAACCAAGATAAAACAAACATTAGGCTAGAAGTGAGGAAAGAATTGGCATCTAACCCGAAGTTGGTGCAAAACACTGTTGATCGGAGTAAGTCCCTGATCATTTTTGGCTGCAAGGAAAAGGAGATAACATCTAGGTCAGAAAGAGCTGTAGAAGAAGCTAAAGTAGTAGATAAAATTGTTGGCCTCGTGGAAGGTCTTACAAACAGAGAGAATGTGTGCGACTACAGGAAAATAGGCAGATATGTAAAAGGGAAAGATCGACCTTTGAAGATCACCCTAAATTGTACGAAACAAATGGAAGAAGTATTAAGGAATGCTAGAAAATTACAAAGTGATGAGGATGGGAAAGTGTGGTCGTTAAGACGAGATCTTTCAAAAGAAGATAAGAGAGAAGCTGAAACTGAACCTCGCCGAGGCAAAACGTTTAAATGAGAGCAGGAATAAAGAAGAAATCAATTCTTTTTTCTACAAAGTGATAGGGGTAGGCAGGCCAGTAAAGTGGTACATAAAGGCAAACCAACAAAATCTCCGTGGTGTAGTGGTAAGACACTCGCCTGGCGTTCCGCGAGCGCTATGTCATGGGTTCGTATCCTGGCCGGGGAGGATTTACTGGGCGCAATTCCTTAACTGTAGCCTCTGTTTAACGCAACAGTAAAATGTGTACTTGGATGAAAAAACGATTCTTCGCGGCAGGGGATCGTATTCCAGGGACCATAGGATTAAGGACTTGCCCGAAACGCTACGCGTACTAGTGGCTGTACAAGAATGTAACAACTCTTG